AATTTTACGGCTCTCCAATGAAAGTGTCATTAACACAGTGGACAAAGCAGTTCACCAGATGGTCCCAGAAAAGTATTGGTTTTTGAAAAAACCAACTCGGTATGTACCACATCCTGTGGCTATAACCTTTGGAAAGCAAGGAAAGCTGCTGTTTATTAAGATTAATCGTTTGAAGCAAACCTCACATCTTGTAGATGCTGACCTTCACAATCCTGTTCGTTTGGAGGTGGTCAAGTCAGGACTACCAGACGTTGGGAGTGTGTGCTATCTGAAGGAAGTTGGAGCAGCGATTTTGTGCCAGCGAGATGACTGCTTGTTGTAGATTTAAAAAATAAGATTGTTCTTCGACCTGCTCGACTGCGGGATCATGCATCTTTAGTTCATGAGCTAACGAAGCGACATCTCTCCTCTCAGGGGACGGTGAAAGTGCTCAAGGAGAGACTAACAGAACACCTACAAATTGAATGCCAGGCTCTGCAATCGGAAGATCAACTTCTGAAATTGGAAAAAGATTTGAGGCCATCCAGTATCTCCAAGCTTACTGACGGTATGATAGTCCATGCCTCAGACATGACGAAAGAGGTGTACACTATCACAGTTTCTTCAAATGGTCATGTCTTGAGCGGATCAGTAACACCATTGCTTTCATATCCAGAAAGATGCCAGCATGTTCAAAGTATGTGCCTTAGGAGTCAAAATTAACTCTTCCTTGGAGACACCAAGGGTTTTTGGCAGTTCAGCATGGCCCAGAAAACCTTGGAGAGTTGTTGTTCTTCAGAGTGATCCCCTCCCATTGTTTGCATACATTCTATCTCTGCACTCCAAGATGGAAGCATAGCCTTTACAGACCAAGACAGCAGACAGCTTAAAATACTACAAAGTGGGGGTGCAGTGAAAGTAATCGTTGGGACCGGGGAGGAGAGCAACAAAAGTGGCTCTGGAAGTCATTCCATATTTGGCCAACCAGTGGGCATCTGCACCGAAGGAGCTGGCATATTTGTAACTGATGGCCAAATCGGTACAATTAAGCTAGTAACAAATCTCAAAGGAACTATTGAGTTTTTGGAGAACCTCGGAAAGATGTACCGTGCATTCTCAGTGCATCACAAGTACCAACAACACAAGAATTGTACACTCAAGGAAGCACACCAGATGGTCAAGGCAGTTTCTTCTTACTACAATGGAACTGTTGAAAACATGAAATAAAGAAACAGTATACCAAGCAAAACCAATGGTCCACAGGGAACTATTGCTGCCAAAACAGTTGTATCCCGCAGTCTGTCTCGAGAGGCTAGATAAAAACACTGACATATTGAGTCCAAGATTCTCCATTAAGCCAGAGGTTTGCCTCACAATTCAGGTTGAAAATGTACATGCTGTCAGCCACTTCAAGCACCCGACTTGTACTCTACTGGAATATGCCAGGGACTTTGGCAACAACATGAGAGTCTCTGAAACAAGCAACAAAGTGGTCGGCCTACTGCTTCACTCATGCTAGCTCGTACTATCCGGTTCCCAAGACAAAGGTACCCCTAACAGATATCCCAAAGATAAAGCGTCTTCCTGTACTTGCTATGACTAAGCAGGACCAGGATTACATGCGCCAGTGGGCCAGCAAGCATGGCAAAGCCATCAGACAGCTCTCAGTTCATCAGAACAGCACCAAGCATGTAGCAGGGACTCTTCCTCTAAACATGTATAGGAAAGAGCTACCTGTTGGCGAAAGAGTCACCAAAGAACCCAGTTCAGCTGATGATATAGGTGACCGGCTGTGAGAGTATGAGTCCAACTCCAGCAAAGAACAAGACAGTTCCAGCCACGAAGAAGATGCAGTCGAGGCTGTTCCTGTAAACTTCCTATCAAAGACAGTGTGCACACATACAGGATGACAGATCACACTGTCATATTGCGCTATTTCATCATACTGAGGTACAAAAAGCTATTTCTTTTTTGCAGAAGCCTTAAAAACATGCGTAAATTCAAAAATATCAATTGAAAGGACCAATCTACATCTTACATTTAATAGCTATTGTACAAATTAGGCTTTTTAATGTATTGTTTTTCATTCTGGGAAAGAAAAACTGGGATTCGGGATACTGATGAAAAACGTGCAGGACGCAGGATTCTCGTGAAAAAGGAACAGGACTGCGGGATCAGGACCCCCCCTTCCAGACCATCGAATATGAAATCCAATTGCCTGTTGGTGCCTATGTCCGTACAGAAATAGAACATGGAGGGAAAGACCCAAATGAAATCCTTTGCCTGGTTCCAGATGATCTGGGAGACTTTTATGAGGATCAAACCATGTCCTGTAGATCATTGAAAAAGAGTTACAAAGTGTGTGACGTGGTTGGTAAACCGATCGCACAAGTTCAGTATTTTCTCAGTGAGACCTTCACAGAACTATTGAAGAATGGCAGAGTACAGACAGTGGAAGGGTAATATAGCTTTTTATCGATTTTTGTATTGGTAGTTTGTACAGTTATATGGTGATCAAAATAATGTAGCATGTTATGAGCAATATGATTGTAATCTGGCTGATCAGAACATGGTTCCCTTTGTAATTTCACAGCATCGTGGGAAATCCGACCGCTAGCAAGAAGCCTCCAACATCACAGAAATGGGCTATGCATAATAGGGAAGGAGGGGGTGCAGTTATACCTTGCACTTGGAAGCTGATTGTGAGTGACACTGATGATACTGACAGGGTGCAACAAAGGATCCAAGCTACCCTAAAGAGAATGGAGAACACAGGGCTCAGCATAGAAAGGATTGAGGTGAATGCGGCTAGTTATAAATTATATTAGTGATTTATGGATCCCAAGTCACTGAAACTGGCCTGGGTTAGCCTGCAAAATAGATGTGTAGACTTATTTCTCTCTTTAACTTCAGCCCAGCAAATTCATAAAGAAACAAAAGAGAGTGTGGCGGTAATAGCGACTCCAGTTAAGGTAAGTTTTAAGCCATGCTGCCTCCTGCATTTCATTCTAGTAAGCAGTGAGTTGTGAATGATTATTTCAAGAAATCGAGAGAGCAGTACTGCAAAACTTTGATTTTTCACTAGCAACAGCTCTACATCTGCTAATGTTTTGTTTTGCCACATAGGACATCTACCCAGTGGTGAAGACAAAATAATCCCATGCAATGATTCAGCTGCTCAAGATGGAGAAATGCACAGAGAAATATGCCACCTGCATTTGTAAGCTGTTTATCTACGAGTACTAAAAACCTAGATGTACTCTCCTCTACCTGTTTCCTATCATAATTTTGAAATCCACAGGTAGCATGTACAATTTATTTGACAGTTGCGTAGCTGTAACATGACCGATCATGATTTTTCGCCATTTATTTGAAATGATCACGTATGAGCTTGGGTGCAAAATTGCTAGATTGATTGTTGCAATTCTTAAGTTGGAATTAAAGCAACCTTCACACAAGGGCACTTTACTTAACCTATCAATACCTAAATCAACCACATCAACTGAACCGAAAGTATTAGCTATGCTGTAGCACAACCACAAGAATAATACATTGATTCAAGTACAGCATTTGACACGGTCAATCACTCTACTCTGTTATCCAAACTTGACTCATATGGTATTTGAAGCATTGAAAATCAGTGGTTTAAGTCTTACTTGAGCAACAGGAAACAAAAGGTATTTGTTAATGGTATNTGTACAGTCCCAAGGAGGAACAGGCCCAGAAATAGTATCTAATAGTATCTAATCTTAGTATCTAATCAATATGGCTTTAGATCTGGGAGCACCACAACTGATTGCTTGGTAGAATTAATGATGAGATAACAATATATAAGAAAAATATGCGGTTTCTATTTTTTTTGTGATTTAAGTAAAGCATTTGACACGGTCAATCACTCTATTCTGTTATCCAAACTTGACTCATATGGTATTCGAAGCATTGAAAATCAGTGGTTTAAGTCTTACTTGAGCAACAGGAAACAAAAGGTATTTGTTAATGGTATCGAGTCTAGTTCTCTTTTAATAAGCTCAGGTGTACCGCAAGGGTCGATTTTAGGTCCTTTTCTTTGTCTAATTTATATTAATGATATTGTTAAATCAACCAACTACTTCTCCGTAAGACTATTTGCTGATGAGACTTCTTTAACTGCGACTGGTAAAGATTTAGACGTACTTTTACATAGAATAAACTCTGAATGGCCTGCTATTTATGAATGGTTATGCTCAAACAGATTAACCTTGAATTTCAGTAAGACAAAATACCTGGTTTTTCAACCACGACAAAAAAGAAATTATAATTTACATATCCCTCTTAAACTAGCAGACCGGTACCTAGAACAGTTTTCCAGTGTTAAATATTTAGGACTCATTATTGATTGCTCACCGTCTTGGCACGACCATATCGATTATATAAGTAATAAAATTAGCAAAAGTGTAAATGTTATTGCAAAACTAAAACCCTATGTGACATCTCAATCCCTAACAAGTATTTATTATGCACTTATATATCCCTATTTAACTTATGGTTACGTACGGTAGGGTAATAATTACGAGGCTCCATTGTCACAATTGGTGAGACTACAAAACAAAGTTTTTAGAATAATCAACAATGTGCCACTTCGTGATCCTATTACTCCCCATTATGTAAACCTTGGTCGTATTAAGCTTCCTGCCATTGTTAAACTATATACCTGCCAGCTATTATATTACTACTTAATTGATGAAAAACCGTCTAATTACACCTTATCTCTGGTATCTGAGCAACATAACTACGTTACTCGAAGTGGATCCCTACAACACTTAAATCCCGGTTTCTCCGGAATAAATATAAGGAAATTTAGCCCCACTGTTATTGGTTGTTACTGTTGGAATGACCTTCCTTTATCTATAGGTAACTTAGCAACTAGAAAACGTTTTAAAAAAACACTCTTCCAGTATTATTTTGCTCAGTATTAATTAATTCATACCTCTTCCTCTCCTATGTTAAGTTAACTTTTTTACCCTAATTATTATTGTCAATTA